GCTATGTAAAATTTAAGCTGAAGTATTTTCAGTCTGGTTGATTTTGAATGTCACTAAATTGTATCACACACTACATGTCAACCCGCATGAGCTACAACTTTCTATCTGAACTCAATGCCCTCCTGTCTCAACACTCGTAAAATTCCATCAGATTTTTTGCTGTGTGTCGACGATAAAACATCATTTAAAATGTTTCAGATCTAATTCGCAATTATGATAATTATCTGCATAATACAACCATAAAAATCGGATGTTCAGGGTTGCACTATGGTAATTAATTAACCAGCGATGTGCTGATGAGTGAAACATCTTTTTAAAAAATCATCCTTGGTCAGCGGATGATTAAGGGGTAGGCTGATCCAGCATTAGCCATGGATACCCAAGTTCATCAACATTAGTTAAGTTGTTTTTTTTTTACTCAATGTTCTATGTAAGTAATGGATATGCACCCATATACGCATACCTCTTAGTATATAGTTGTAACCAATAGTACGCAAAACTCTAATTTAGTTTAAAGTTGTAACTAAAAGTACACACATTTTTAATTCAGTTCAAAACTGTGCTGTTTAGAATCACTTTAGTACATGTAGTCCTATATAAGCCCTATAATTATAATATTAGCTTGCTGATTTGAAGTAATTAAAACCATCTATTATATATTTAATAGAGTTTCGTTACAGGGAGCTTTTTAAAACAAATTACTTTATATTTAATGAAATCTTGTTAAAAATCTTGTTAAAGTTTCAGTCGAAGAAACTTAGGATGTTTTAATTTGCGTTTGTTCACTAAAATAGTCTATTAAAAGTATACGAGTTTCAAATAAGTAGGCCTACATAGCCTACACATAAAGAAAAATTAAAACCAAACTAAATTCGCTTATTGTGCTAAACTATCAATGTTTTAAGCGTGTGAAATCATACTGTGAAATTACAACCCGGAAATATAGTCCTACATAATGGTACTTATCAATATTCGATTTTTGCTTCAGGCGGGTTAAATCAGCAGTTTTATTTGTCTGAATTATTTGTATAACAATTTTAACCTGAATATATGAACCTACAAATATCTAACTCAGTGTTTCACTTGAAATTTTCGTGGGGGGGGGGGGGGGGAAGGAGACTGTTAAAAGTATATATTTTCTATATAAATTTCGTTCTAGAGGGGGGGGGGGGGGGTGGTAGACTTTCTTCGGGGGCTGTGCCCCCCCCCCCCCCCCTCCGAAGAGGTGCCTGGAAGAACTCTGATCTAACTCACTGATTCCCATCCTGTGGTGAAATTCTTTCTTTCCTTTATCTAAAAGATTCAACTTTTTATAGCAGCCAGACCACAAGAAGACAATATTTCCACTGCTATTTTATCCCACAGCATTGAGCAGATACGCTATACACCTCCCAGCGTTGTGTGTGAGGACTTCCGGCCCATATTGTTAAATTCCATTAGCTTTGTACACACGGGCTAATGTTAGTTCAGGCGCTCTACAGCCCGCCGTGGCCTCGTGTGTACAGAGTTGGACAAAAAAAAATATTTTCCAATTGTAAAATCGATTTATAAGTTTGCTTGTTTTTTGTTTTTAGTTTTTAGTTTTTAATTTTTTATCATACATTAAAAAATGGTTATTGTGCAACCAAAAGGTCATAAATTACATTTGGAAAAATAACTGGTAGCTAAAATTAGATCAAATATTAAAATACCTTTACGTTTATAAATATTAAAACCTAAGTATGTGTGACATTTAATTTGAGATGGCATTAAAAAAATATAAAATAATAATTTCCAGATTTTAAATAATAGATAAATTAATTAAAGGATTTTCTCTTAACATAACATAATAAGCTTTGGACGGTCTGGGATATTTTTAGCCCATTGTAGTGTCTAAAGACGATTAAACATACGTATGACTGATCAAGTAATTACTAGTTTATATGTCTTCCCTTTTGTATTGAATAAAGTGACATTTGATATGATGTTTAATTACTGAATATCTACAAAGTTTGGAAATGAGATATTGTTGCATTGTCATCCGTGGCACACTTATATGGCAAGGGAAAGAAATTGCACCATTACAAATCTGTCGAAATCGAGTTACAAGATATAGATATATGCAAAATATATTTACTAACTCTAATAATGACACAACGGACCAAATTTAAAATTATAATTATAAATTTACTGATACTTTCCTCTAACAATGAGTACATTTAAAACCGCACTGCTGCAAAACTGTAACGTCAGGAATAAATAAATTTTCATTTAACTATGTTTAATGGTTTAAATAAGTTCATTCTACATTTAAAAATAATATTTTATAACGCTAACATTATATTGCAATTTTTTTTCAGTGGAAATACTAAAATAGAAAAAGTCATACTCATTATTTTTAATACATGTAACTTTTTTTGTCTTGTACTTTATAATCTATCTAATACTACTAAAAGTAAAGTTTGTTTACATGTTTGAATATTTATTTGTTTGTTTTTTTGTTTGGCTGATCGAGTATTGTGATATGTTCGACTCTATCTGGAGAGCTGTAAAATAGTATGTAGGTAGAGAATAATGTTTTAATGCAGACAGACTGTTAATCACACATTTATTTAAAGACGTTAATTAATTTATTGATTTATTCATACGTAGAGTAACCCTATTTTTTTAAAAAGTTTAGAACGACCACTAGACTCGGCGGGACCGTGAAGTCACAGTTTTTTGTTTACTCTTTAGTACAATAAAATGGCGGCGTCTATCGAAGAAAATTGTGTTCCCATTCAAAAGTTTAACGCGTTCTAAATCTAATTTTCTGTCGGTCATAACTTTAACAATACGTCCGTTTGCTGTATTTATTACGTTCCAACACTTATATCAATTTTCAACTGTCTTTTTTTCATTTAGTTTTACAATAAATTTCTCTAGATCTAAAGATCAGCTGTCGAAGGAAAGTTATGAATCTAGCCTAGATCTAGCCTAGATCTAGGTCACTAGACTCAATGTGCATTCTAGATCTAGACTTAATGTAAATTCTACATCTAGAATCTATTTCAGGCCTTAATACATCTAGAATCTATTTCAGGCCTTAATTATTTTATATAAATCTTTGTTTGGCTAATTTAAGATAAAATTTAATTTGATAGTTACTACTACTAGACTTAGATCTAGATGTATGCGCGTAAATCAAGTTGAATAAGGAGACTCAAAGTATAGTATAAAAATTCACTTTTGACGTCACGAGTAAATAGCTAAGTTGGTAGTGTAGCGGGCTCTCATGCGGGTGGTACAGGTTCTAGACCAATATGTCAATGATATTTTTTTTTCTTTTTTTTTTTTTTTAGATGTGAATGATAAAATTGCCTATCTGAACTTGGAAGGATACAGGGCAGGTGAAGTAGAGTTCATCTGTTTCTTTGTCCTAAGCATATGAAAGGATAGTGTGGTCAGAGACATGCTCGGATGGAATCGTTTTTTAAACGATAAAAACATGTTGTCTGAGACTTGGCGGGACACTGGGCAGGTGAAGTAGAGTTGAGTAGGTCACCTGTGACGTCAGTATATGAAAGGATAGTCCGAAATCGGTGTTTTCGGTGGGAGGGGGAGGGAAGGCGGGGGGGGGGGGGGTGGGGAGGTGGAGGGGGAAAGGGGGGGGGGGACATATGTTGGGGCGCCAAAATGGTTTGGAAAAATAAATTGAAAGGTTGAGGGGGGTTCAAATCGAAAGTTTGAGTGGGGGGGGGGGGGTGCACATCAAAAGTTTGAGGGGGTGGGGGTTGCAATTCGAAATCTTGCGGGGGGGGGGGGTTCAAATCGAAAAGTTTGTCCCCGGGCGCCGGGAAGGGTCGCTATGCCTCTGAGTGACAGACGTGATGTTTTTTGATGGATGACCCCCGAAACCTACAGTTATCCAACGGATGACGGGTATTCTAGTAGTAAGTAAAACTTATGTGGTTATTTCAAATACTTCAAAATGTTCCATGACAATAATAATATATCATTGTCTCCCGTGTAAATAACAACGTACCATAATGGGAAACCTTAGCATTTCACATTCCAATTATCTTTATACATCTGATACTTTTTGAAAACAAATTTAATGATTGTTCTTTATTACCGTTATAATGCACATAACACTACGATCTATTTCTATTTGTAATAAACACAGACACACAGACACACACATACACACACAAGTGCAAAATCCTTCATTATCCTAAAATATTTATTCTATTCTCCCAGTTAAACTCAACCACTATTGTATGATTACAAGCACGACTCAAATATATAAAAATGTTCGGTGTTGTAATGCATTATCCTTACAAAATATCTCACTAAACAGGACACAGCGATAACTCGTTGCGGGTGAATTACTTCGAGTTATTAATTTATTTCAGTACGGTCGATGTGTTGGATTAAAACTGCGCCATATGCACTAAGCTGTACAGCCATACATATTTGGGCCGAGAGAAGCCTCTGAATGTCAAGCAAATAGATATTTAAAAACAATCGAACAGAGCAAGATAGATTTTTTTGCTCAAATCTAATCTGTGAAACCGGTAGCCTGAGAAATTAAACTCCAACAATACAGATTATAAACAAGAGAAGTAACTCCTCATGAAGTAACAATAACCAAAGTATGTAAATATAGCAGTAGTTGTTGCTCAACTTAACAAGCTAGAAATACATAACAATATATATTCAACACATGCTAAAAACTCTCTAAACTATTATATAAGTAATTAGAAAAACATTGTAATCAACCTAGTTTTCATTAAAACAAATATCTAAGAGTGTTATCTTTTTTGAAAACCAAACATACTAGAATGTTCAATTTTTAAATAACCCATCTCTAGCTCAATTTACGTGTTGTGGTGAAAATAATTAATTGCAGTAAAAAAATATATCCGATCTTGTTTATTTTACTAAAGAGATACCAAATACCAAAATACGAGATTAAAAGTTTTCATTCACAAATTATAATTCACGAGAATGTAATTAAAAATCACGGTTAAAGAACTTACGTCCAGCAATCAGCGTGGTAATTAGTGCATTATTTAACCTGTCCTTGTTAATTACAGAGGAACTCCTGCCCGGCTTACATTTTAAAATCGAGCACTGGTTTCGCCAATCATCCGCGGTCTGGCGGCGTGGGGTACCCGTGGACCACGCGCGTCATAGAGGGCGGCACTGGTGTCTCATGCCAGTCACATAACTCCACATCACTCACTTATTAGTCGCATAGCCCCACACAGTCACATAACTCCAGACCACTCACTCATTAGTCGTATTACCCCACACAGTCACATAACCCCACATTACTCACATATTAGTCGTATAGACCCACACATAACTTAACACATTGGTCGTGTTACCCCACACATAACTCCACACATTAGTCGTGTTACCCCACACATAACTCCACACATTAGTCTTATAGACCCACACATAACTCCACATCACTCACACTTTAGTTGTGTTACCCCACACAGTCACATAACTCCACACTTTAGTCGTGTACCCCCACACATAACTTCACATCACTCACTTATTAGTCGTGTTACCCCACACATTACTCCACATCACTCACTCATTAGTCGTATTACCCCACACAGTCACATAACTCCACACTTTAGTCGTGTTACCCCACACATTACTCCACATCACCCACACATTAGTCGTATAGCCCCCACACATAACTCCATATTACTCACATATTACTCGTATAGCCCCCACATATAACTCCACATCACTTACACTTTAGTCGCGTAGCCCCAAACACACTTCACACATAGTCACACAATTCCACATAACTCACAAACAGCCCCATAGACGCCACCCCCCACCCCCTCTTCACACCCCAACCACCGAATCACACATTAATCCCAAAGCTCTAATATAAACAGGCTATCTGTATCAAAACTGTTCTACTATTCAAGCTTAATTGATTCGAATTTATGTTCTCTACAAAAAAATGTCCATTATTTAATAAGAAGTTATCCCTATTGAAATAAATACAATTAAAACTTGTGAAATTGTATATGGCACTTTCAACTTGTTAAAACGGGAATAAGGTTTGAACTCTCTTAAAATCATATCGTATTGTTTAACCGTCCCCCCCTCACCCAGGTCTAGCAACACCGTAGAGAGGGCTAGGGACAGGGCAAGATGGTGCATTGATTTACATCGCTCCTGCATCCCATTCCCTCTCTAGCATTGGTTTAAATCATTGAGGACGCCGAGATCTCTTCGACAGAGTCCAACCAGGCAAGAAATTCGAGATCCGACATTCCTCAAGGAAAAAAATCTCGGGCAGTTGTGTATTCCGACTGAGGAGTTGGGCGAAGGGCTTGATTTAACCATACACCGTTATCCCACTTTATATGTAGTAATATAATACGACTGTAAATTATTTGAACATATTGTTATTTCTAGCAAATACGTACCTATTTATTGATCTTAATTTTTAAATAATTTCAGATATTACAGGTAGCCTTAAATTAAACTAACACAAATACTGATTTAATCTAAAAATACATGTGAAATAAAATTATAAAAACGTTAAGATAAAACAATGGATAACTATTTGTTGTTGTTGTTAGTCTAAGTTATTTGAAGTTGTGTGATCTGGGTCGGACAACTGTGAACTGACTCATGGTGTTTGTCCTGTGATAGTTTTTAAAAAACCTTGTGATCTTACGGTTGTCCAACACCTAGTCTTAGAGCCCAACACATCAAGCGAGAAATAAAATATATGTATGTATTCTATTGCAGATAATGGACCATTTTTAAGACAAAGAGAGGAACAAAACTAAGATAAAATCCTGAATACAAGTACTTAAAGAACCGCTTAACAATAAGAATCAAAGAAAAAAAAACAGCCTAAAAATAAGAAAACTAGAATAAGCATCATACAGCATGAGTATTTGAACGAACCCAAAATTGAAAAAAAATTTACAAACATAAAAAATGAACAATCAAAGAATAATGGAAGAATGTTGTAAATGGCCCTTGCTCTACTGGGAGTTGAAAACATGAAAAGAATGTGTCTCTTGTCTTATCTCGTTGCTATTCAACAGGATTTGTAAAGTCTTGCAACTATGTTTCTTAAGGTGAGTTTAATATTTCTTAAAGGAGAGTTTAATATTTCTTAAAAGAGAGTTTCATATTTCTTAAAGGAGAGTTTAATATTTCTTAAAAGAGAGTTTAATATTTCTTAAAAGAGAGTTTAATATTTCTTAAAAGAGAGTTTAATATTTCTTAAAGGAGAGTTTAATATTTCTTAAAAGAGAGTTTAATATTTCTTAAAAGAGAGTTTAATATTTCTTAAAGGAGAGTTTAATATTTCTTAAAGGAGAGTTTAATATTTCTTAAAAGAGAGTTTCATATTTCTTAAAGGAGAGTTTAATATTTCTTAAAAGAGAGTTTAATATTTCTTAAAAGAGAGTTTAATATTTCTTAAAAGAGAGTTTAATATTTCTTAAAGGAGAGTTTAATATTTCTTAAAGGAGAGTTTAATATTTCTTAAAGGAGAGTTTAATATTTCTTAAAAGAGAGTTTAATATTTCTTAAAGGAGAGTTTAATATTTCTTAAAGGAGAGTTTAATATTTCTTAAAGGAGAGTTTAATATTTCTTAAAGGAGAGTTTAGTATTTCTTAAAGGAGAGTTTAATATTTCTTAAAGGAGAGTTTAATATTTCTTAAAGGAGAGTTTAATATTTCTTAAAGGAGCGTTTAATATTTCTTATAGGAGCTTTTAATATTTCTTAAGGAGTGTTTGATATTTCTTAAGGAACATTTAATATTTCTGAAGGAGCGTTTGATATTTCTTAAGGAGCATTTAATATTTCTTACGGAGCGTTTGATATTTCTTAAGGATCGTTTAATATTTCAATAGGAGAGTTTGATAGTTCGACAGGAGAGTTTAATATTTCTTAAGGAGCGTATTATATTTTTTAAGGCGTATTTAATATTTCTTAAGAAGCTATTAATAGTTCTTAAAGAGCGTTTAATATTTCTTCTGAACCGTGAAATATTACTTAAGGAGCGTTTAATATTTTTTTAAGAACGTTTGATTCTTAAGGAGTGTTTAAAATATTTTAGGAGTGTTTAAAATTTCTTAAGGATCGTTTAATATTTTCCCTATCTGCTGTATGGAACATGTCGAACTTAATCTGATTGATCACAAGACTTGCGGTGATCACAATGATCCATCTTTGAACAGATTCAACTAGCCGGTTTTTAGAAGAGAAAAAATTGTTAATAAAAAAAACTTCTAACCTCAACACAAAATTCCTATAAAAATGCAAATTAATAACAAAAACATTAATTGTTAAATTCTGTTCTGCATTAATAAAAAAAATCATTTTTTAAATTTAAAAATAAAATCCAACATTAAAATCAACTCACACTTGCAATTTGTAATTACAAAAATATATTTGGATGAAATTTTTTTTTCTGCGCACACCGGAACAAAGACATTGCAGACTAGGCATCACACTTCAGCGGCCCAGCTAATGCGTCCAACAGAGGGCATCCCAAGGCGCCATGTTATCTCTACACTTGGTTTTTGCCCTGCCCACTGGGCGACAGAGCCGAAACACGAAATCTGTTTTTACCACATGCCAAGCTAACAGGGAACATCGATAGCAGCGCATGCAAGCCAACCTGCTTCTGACTTATAGCGTTCTGCTCTATTGCGATGCGACGGATAAAAAAAATTTGTTTTGTAATTTCAAAGACGGATAGAAACACAGACGACAGGCTGACAGACGGATGGACGGACGAACAGACGAACAGGCAAATAGAAAAGCATACGAAAAGACAAACTACCGAAAAAGACGAAAAGACGAACAGACAAAAAAAAAAACTAATAGACGAACAATTGAACAGAATATAGCCAGCCACAAATGCTTGTACAATAACACCCCTAACTAGCCCGCTTCCGTATAATTTAAAGTAGCACACATTTTAACATTAGTATATTATCGAAACTAAATCAAACCGGATTTTTACTAATGTTAAAATGTTTTCTACATTAAACTGTAAATGTAATCGGCAAAGTGCCACTTCGTGTTAGTCTAAAGACTGAAGGCATATGGATCTGTGTGATAGCGGTTCTCTTATTGATGTTGGATTACAAGCTCCCGCGCTCCTTTCTTTAGAGCGATGTTCAGACAAGTCGTAGTCTTTGAGTGATTATACTTCTAAATCCTTGTGGCTTTGGAAACTTTGCCCTTTGCAACAGTACAAAAAAAAATCCCTTATTTAAGAATCATCTAGTGTGTAGGGGTCGGCGTGGTCGAGTCGGTAAAGCTCATGGTTGCTAAACCGAAAAGTCTCGAGTTCGAACCCTCGGGCAGATGAGGCTCGTTAGCTGGGGACAGCCACTCTTCTAGGAGAGACAACTCAAAAATTAAACAACTGCTGCCTTGTAGTTTGTTCTTGGTTGGACAAAGGCTATGGAAGCAAATCCAAAAAGAAAAGCAGGCTGAAATCGGAGTCAATGGCCTCAATGGCGCATAACCAGTTGACACGTAACGCTTAATTGTGTTGGAGGCGTGGTCGAGTCGGCAAAAAGCTCATGGTTGATAAATTCGAACAAAGTCTCGAGTTCAAACCCACTGGCAGATAAATCTCGATCCCCTTCAACACTAATAATTAAGAATGAAGAAGAAGAAGAAGATCTAGTGTGTGGTATCTTGATTATTAACATAGATCAGGCGAACAAAGAAATAGATAAAAATAATGTTTTTCTGTTTGCTGTACCTTACTTATGAATGGAAGCGCAAGCTGCTTCTTTCCCATAAGATCTGATATTTTGTACTGAGCTTTTTTTCGCACGATACTCGTCGGTAACTATTGACCAATCCAATCTTGATCGTAGATTGTTCTGTTTTAATCTAAAGAAAATGCTGTTTATCTTGGATTTGTTAGCTTATAGCTTAATTTTTAAATTAAACTACTCTTGTTTGCATTTCTATTATTATTATTATTATTATGCAAACAAACTGTGTGCACGAATTGCTTAATTTTCTAACTTCAATATCTATTTTAATTTCGCCCATCCCAGAAGTATAAATTTAAAAAAAAGTGTTCTGTAGCAATTAATTGGCTTGTGAAATCGATTATTACAGATCGGTTTTTGCCTATG